TATATATATATATATTGTAAATAAAGTTTGATTCTGCGATTACTGACAGTCCGTCTCTTCTTGATATCAGCGAATGTACATTACGATCGACATATTATGTTCGTCTTACATAACTGCGTTTCATTAAACTGTATACATTTTAATTGGTTTTTATTCTTATATGGACGTACTCGTTTGAATAATTTCACACATGGCTTTTGATTAGTTTTTATTGGTTAGATTTCCGGTATGTTACTTTCTGATTTAGTATTTAATAAGAAAACTTTTTTATCTTTTTTATCGATTAGATTTTTTTCCAAAAGATATGAAACATGACTGTCCAATCGTATGCGAATAATGTCGAATTCTTCGACATCAAAACTCACTCGAGCTTATTATAAGGAATATGTGAGTATTTTCGATAATTAATTTTGTACAGCGATCTTTGTGATAAGTATATAATGTCTGAAGGGCTCAATCCGATAGCCGAAACTTGTAATATTTTATACTTGAATTTAAATGTTTTCTTTATTTTTATTTTTCTTTATTTGTTTTCTACTTTAAGTACAATTTTCTACTTTATTTTCTACTTTAAGTATTCTATCGGATTGGCAAGGAAATAATTGCGTTTTTTTAACTCAAAGTTGTATATACAATATCTTCAATGAAATTTAAATTTAAAACAAGGATTTTAAAGTTTTAAATCTCTACTTTTAAAAGCTTTCCACATTTTTTAAGTTTATATGAGTTTGGTTGAGTTTTTATATACCAAAAACTACGAGTTGAAAAAGATGGAAAATTTTCTTCTCATTTTATGGGTTTTTAACGTGCCCAAAACAAATTTGAGAAAATTTTTTACTACCTATCGTGAAAGCTTGATACTTTCCCTACAAAATCGTTTTTTTTAAATATTCCTACGATTTTTGGTTATTGATCGCGATTTGGTTATCGCGGATTAAATAAAAGGATCATTTTGATTTTAATTATTCATAACTCCATTAAAAATTGTCGTATCGCAATTTAAAAAAGAGAATTTCTTAAAGTTGAAACTTTATTCTATCAAGATATATTTATATTGGTTGGAAGAAAATAATTGCGGTTTTTACTGCTAAATGTCTTTTAAAAAAAACGCAATTATTTTCTTGCCAACCCAATATTTAATTGTGTTACAATTTAAAATGTTAGACTCTTATTTTGCCCCTTATTTATTGTTATTTATTTTCTATATGAAGAAGCCTTCTATCTGTTAAATATTTAATTGTTTCAAACCATTTTACGATTACAGTATAAATTTTTCGTTGCAGATTTCTCTAATGCAGGAGAAGTAAGATGCTATTGTAATCAACCAGAATGCGTTCCTCAAGGATACATGTGTCGTGGTAGGAGTTGTTTTACAAAATTACCATCGAACGCAAATGCATTATTTTCGAGAGCGGAGCATACTGCTCACAGCGGTTGTTTCGATGAAAATTTGATGAATCGTCAGTGCCCCGCAGGATTTCTCTGCTGCGATCAAGATCTCTGCAATCACGTGGACAGCCCCGCGATGAGAAACAGACTCAACAAAACTCTACGAGGTTCGCGACGAACGAGGCCTTTTCTTCTTTTCATCTCGCATGCTATCAGGCTATTACATTTTCAACATTTTCCATTTCACTTGTCACATTCATGTTGATATCGTAATACTTGTATACATCTAATATTTAGGATAATAGGTATATATATTGCCATGTAATTAGAATGCTCCTCCAATTTTTTATAAAACATAAACTGAATTAAATTTCTTTTTTAACACAAATATCTTTCTTTCTAATCTTTCAAAAAATCTATTTGTGTTTTTTTAACTTGTTTATTACTTGTTAATATCATTGTAGTACTGATCGATGATCAACGACCGTACTTGGCTCCATTGCATCCAAACAGTCGCGGAAATCAGGCGATTGACGGATGGTTCCCAACGGCGACGATCATCGTGGCTATCTGTGGATTCATCGTTCTGCTAATGATCGCCAGTTTAGCTGTCAGATGGCTTCAGCCTATGCCAGCACAAAACGCAAATAAATTCGTGCCACATCGAACATCTAATAACGGGCCACCCTTACTTGGACCACCGAAAGTGCCTCTGGTTTAAGAAATTTCATGACAAAGTTTCCCAATAAGAGGTGTTCTAAGTAATAGTTTAATTAATAGAGCTGGCTGCGCTAGTTTTGATACATGACTTGCAAAACCGGAGTTGTGCCATACACATACATTTGTGTAGCAAAATATTTGTATACCGAGTACTTCTACGTTAATATTAATTGGGGATAATTTGTGTGTGTGTGCGTGTGTGTGTGTGTGCGTGCGTGCGTGCGTGCGTGTGTGTGTATATAAGCTTTCTTTACGACGAATGATATTATTCCAACTTAACTTTGTTTCAACTTTGTGGATTTTTTACAATATGTATATGAGAAATATAGCCTGCGTGTGTATGTATGTGCGTATACAAGTTTGCAAGATTCCACAGAGTCATGTACCAAATAAATGGCTGTTTAAAAAGCTAGCGGGCCGTCGAAGGCTCCACTTGGCTGTGAATTCTACGAAGAAAGCAACTACTGTAAATTATATCTCATAATGATAATGTATTATTCGTTGCATTTCCTCGAAACGTCGACATGGCATGCATGTCGACATCGCGAGATCAAAGAGTGAGAATGGATCAAAATTTTTCGATCCTTTAAACATGACGTTACGATGACATAAAGTATATGATACGTTTCTATGTCATTATAGGATTGTAAATATAGAACATGTATTTTTTATCATCTTGAATGATATATTAAATTTGATGATATTATCGAGTTACAATGATGATGATGATGATGCGAGAACGTTTTTTAACGTTGTAATTATTGAACTCTGTTCCCTAAAAATATTAGTACATAATGTTAATTCATGAATAGTACATGCCAATAAAAAGTGAGGGAAGATTATATATTTTAATAATCTATAAGAAAATTCAATAGAAAATAAATTTGTGTAAGCGATATAAAATTTTTCGTTCAAGTCGCCGTTGCGACTTGAATCACAGCCAATTTGTGAATTGTACCTTTTCTTCATATAATATTTTTTAATTATTTCATATAAACACTGTATTGTGATAGTATGACATAACAATGACTAAATAAATACGTACAGGCCTGCCTAGACTTTATTTTATACATGTTACTTGTGAGGAATGAAAAAAAAAAGTAAAGTATATTTTAATTGTCTTTTCATTGCATCTTGTCTGTATTTATTTGTTGCTTTTCATCGATAACATATACATACCATATTGGTATCCGATATATAGGGAGGATACGTCATTACTCTATAAAATAGGTTTTCGTATGATTTGCTCAGCTCAAAAAAATGATTTCGTGCTGTATTGAAATTT